CAAAATTAAGGAAAGGTTTATTTGGCTCACAGATTATGGAAGTTTCAGTGTATAAACAGCTGGCTCCAAAGCAAGGTGGCACATGGCAGAGGGTAACAGTTCATGGTGGCAGAAGATAGCAAAGGCAGCTAGAACAAAAGGGGGGAGTGGCAGCAGGAAGAGCAAGCCTCTTTCCCTCCCTTGTATGCAAACCGCCCGCCCCAGGGAGAGTGCAGCACTCACACCCATAATCCCAGTGTTGGATCATGGATCAATCAAAAATCTAGACGCCCACACCATGACCGCATGAGGCTTTGGGGGGACATCCAGACACAAACTATAACACTTAGAAAGCAACCGGTGCCCCATTCGCTAAAGATGCCGATTAACTTAAAAACAAAATACAGCACCTAAAGCAAACTGCTTTCTGGCTGAGGGTGGAGCTCTGCAGGAGAGCATTTGCCTAGCATGCAAAAGACAACGGGGGCACCCCCAGCACTGAAGGAAGAGAAAAGCTGTTTTCCTTTAATCAAAGTTATTGTTTTTGAGTTTGGCCATGTCCGAGGGCTGTGCCCATGGGCTCCATCCTGGGGGTACACTGAACTATCTGGTGCTGGGAGTACAAAAAAGGGAGATCTTGAAGGCTCCACCTACCTGAGCAGGTGAGGACAACTCTAGCTGGATGTGACAGAGACAAGAGATGACCACATCTGACTATCACAACTGCCACCACCATTCTAGCCAGGATCATGTGTCAGATTGTGATATCCTCCAAACACACAATCTCATGTAATCCTCCTAATTATTACTTTCATTTCACAGCTGAGGAAACTGGAGCTCAGAGAGGTTAAGTAACTTACCTAAGAACACACAGCCAGAGAGCAACAGCTATGAAATTTAAATCAGACTTCAGAGGCTGTTTCCTTAACAGCTGTCTTCACCAAGGCTGATGGGTAAGTTTTACATTCACCCAACTCCCGGTGCTGCAGCAAATGAGAAGGATGGGTAGAGGCAGAGATGGCAATAAGAAAGGACAGCCAAGGTAGAAAGACCAGCAAAAAGCATGGGTCTCTCAGGACGTCATGTGGAATACCCAACGGGGCATGGTTTAGGTACGAAGTGTTCCCTAGCTCACTCTGGCTCCTCCTTGCTCTCTCTGTTTCCTGGTGCCATGAGGTGAGCAGCTTTGCTCTGCCAGGCCCTTCCGCCAGGATGTTTCTGCTTGGCGCTGCCAACCATGAACCAAAACCTCTGAAACCGTGAGCCACAGTAACCCTCTTCTCCTTTAAACTGTGGGGCTTGGATACTTTGTCCCGGAACCAGCAAGGTGACTGATGCTGTACAATGGCTTGCTGAACTCAACAGGCATCTAATAAGCTCCAGTTGTGCCCTAGGCCTTCTCTTGGGCTCGCCAGAGGACATACAAATGTACAGCAGGCACAGCCCCAGTTCCATCTGGTAAGAACAAAAGGTCTATACTTTGGGACAGAAAGCCTGTCAGGTTGCAGAGGGCCTCGACTGGGCAGATAATGAAGGGCAGGTGGCACGGCCTCAGGCGGGGACTCAGCTGTCGCCAGAGCCATTTAGACAGTGGTTAAGACCGTGGACCCTGGGCTGTCACACTACAACAAGCAGAGGCATAGGTCCCCTCCGCTGCTGCTGCTTCTGTACATGGGGGTGATGCGGCACCTTTTCGAGGGACAGCAAGGATCAAAAGGGTAAATGGAGAGGGTGACTCCAGGCACAGGCTGCCGTTACTTCTCTCCAATGTCAGCACAGTCCCTGGCATTCACACACTGCCCTGATCATACCGACAAATAAATGCATATGCAGGTGATGCTACTGAGTCAAACATGGGACCTACCACAAAGGGTTCGTTCTCCCGAGTGAGCTTGCAGCTCGGAGAGACAGCCACACACGCACGGCCCTGTGAGAAGCAGGCCCCCCAGAGTCTCAGACACCAGAGACAGAAATCACTCCTTCCTCGGCGCTCCTGCATGCGTGCCTTCCATTCCAGCAAGCCCAGAGAAAGGAGACTAAGGGATCACAAGGAAATCACAGTGTGCTTCAGGTCAGGGAAGGCAGAAGGGCCCAGCCCAGGAGCTGAGCTCTGTGGTGTGGGCTCTGCTGGGATGGCAGCGAGTCCCAGCCACACACGCCCCGCCCAGACCAGCCCTGTGGCCTCTCTGCCTAAACGACAGTTGTTCAAAAAGGGTGAACACAAACAACTGTGTTTGCACAAGCTGGTGGAAGGGGCTTTAAAAGATGTTAAGGATCAGAAAAGTAAAATGTATTTGAAAAGATACATAGATGCTGCTAACAGAGCCGCAAGAGAGGAGGTTTGCACACAGAGCTCCTTATTTTGCAGATGAGGAGACTGAGGTCCTGAGAAATCCAAGAGAGCGTTTCCTGCCGCAGAAGAGGGGGGGACATGGTGATGCAGTGGGGACCTTGGGAGCCCCTCTGCCTTTCTGGGGGCGGGGCTTCCACACAAAGAGCAATCTAGCCCCGGCGAGGGGTCTGCAGGTGAATTGTCTTCTCAAATAACCACAAGAAGCCTAGACTTCGACCAGATGTTTCCACTCTAAGTCCGGATGTTGTCGTGCCCGTGTGTGTGTGTGTGTGTGTGTGTGTGTGTGTGTCTGTGTGTGTGTGTGTGTCTGAGCACACGCCTGGCCATGCAGATAGCACCCATTTAGGGTTCGAGCTCCCTCCTTCGGCTGGCAGCAGAGGGGGCGGGGCTCTGGCGGCTATCCCAAAGAGTAAGAATCTCCGGGACGGACACACACACACACACACACACACACACACACTCTCACACGTGTTCCTTTGCTTCCTTCCCCTCCCCCACCGGCGACGCGTGGAGGGGCCGCGGGGTCTGTCTCCAAGGCGCTGGGGCTGGAGCCGCGCCTCCGACGCTTGCTTCTGCGCACACTCATGGTGCACGTGTGCACACTCAAGGTGCACACACAGACTCGCACACGCGCATACTGGGCACCCCGAAACCGGGCCGCGCCCGCCGCGCTCCTGAAGCCTGAGAAGCGGGCAGGTCGAGACACGAAAGAAACCGGCCCAGACAGCCTGCAATTCAGCTCCAGCCGCACAACCTCAGGCCAAACCGCCGCATATGTAACAAAGTTTTATTTCGCTTTCAGAGTCTCCGGTTACGTTTCTGCCATTTCCTGTGGAAAATTGAAGCTTTGAAGTGTCTCGCCCGGGCCCTGCGCGAGCTCTCCAAAACTAGCGCCCGCCCCTCGCCGCCGCAGAAGCAGTGGGTTGGAACCCACTCGGCGCGGGGGTACAGAGGGGGTTCATACCCCGCGGAAAGCGGCGCCCCACTCCGACAAGACCTCCCGAGAGCCGGGTCCCCATCTGTGACAGCTGCAGCTCTCCAGGGACCAGGGGGCGCGCAGGGCGCAAGCTGGTTCCCCCGCTGAGGGCCACCTTGCTTGGCTCAGAAACCCCCGGGAGAAACGAGCCAGGAAGCCTTCCCGAGCCAACTTCCCATTCTAGGCGTCTGGGCTGGGCCAACTCCGAACTGGCCTGGCCCTCCTTCCCGGGCACCAGGGCCTGGGAGGGGGGCGTTCGGCAGGTACCGGACTGCACCGTGGAGACAGAGGGACGCGCCTCCCCCGAGTCCGAGAGTTAAACTCGTGGGCACGGAGCGTGGTGTGTGAAAGGTCGGAACAAACAGAGCTCCGGTAGGAGATAAATGAGGGCGCAGACCTCCACAATACCAAACGGGGCCCCGCCCCGCGCCGCGTGCTCGGGTCCCTGGCCGGGAGCGAGCCCTCGGGGTCTGCACGCCCCGGGCCCTGGGAACCCCAGGGTGCCGGGGGCGGGACGAGGGGAAGCCGGCGCACCGCGTGGGCGCGCGGGTGGGCAGGGCGCGCACTCACCGTTGGCGTTCTTCCCGCAGATGAGGTGCTGGTAGGGCTGCAGCAGCCCCCAGATCTCCGAGTCGTTGTTGACCGTGTGTTCCAGCGTCTCCACTGTGAACCGCGGTGCCTCGTGCAACGCATGGTGCGCGTGGCCGTGGTTGGCGGCGGCGGCCGGCGGGGCTGCGGCTGTGGCGGGGGCCGGCGGGGCACAGCAACTGCTGCCCCCGCTTGCGCTACTGGGGGCGCTGCCAGGGCCGCCGCCCGCCGCGCCCCCTCCGGCCACCTCGCGTTCCGCGTCCGCAGAGGGCGCTGCGCTGGAGCCCAGGCCCGGGCCGGAGCTAGAGCCCGAGCCAGGGCCGCCGCAGCCCCGGGGCAGCCCCGAGGCCACAACGCGCGCGTAGATGTCCCGGAAGAGGCTCTCCATGCAGGCCGTCAGGTAAATGGCGGCGTGCTCGTGGATGCGCAGCGCCACGCGGCTGTCCACCATCCAGCGGTACACGCGGCCCACGGAGAAGGTGAGGCCGCAGCGCGCCGACTTGCCGCGGCCCAGGCGGTCGCCGCCCGCGCTGCTCATGTTGTAGAGCGACAGCGCGGCCAGCCCGGCGGCGGAGCAGTGCGCTGCCAGCCCCCAGGACAGCACGATCTCCATGGCACTCTGGATCTCGTACTTGGTGCACTTGGCGAAGCGCAGGCTCAGGCGCTGCGCCTCCTTAGCGATGCGCACGAGTGCGCGGCTCACCAGCACCGACAGCCGGGCCAGCGCGTCCCGGGGGAGCCCGCCGGGGGCTAGGGGGCCGGCGCGGGGGTCGCGGGCGCGCAGCAGCAGCGCCTCGAGCTCCTGCAGCGTCCAGGGCACCTCGTCGAGGTCCGGCAACAGCCGCGGGCAGTGCTGGCCGGCGCAGTCCAGCCCCTCGGAGTCCTCCACCAGGGCAGTGTTGACGGTGTCAAAGCTGTCGTGCCGGCTGTGCATGGAGTCAGCTAGGGGCGGCCAGCCGCTCCCGCCATACGGGGACGCCGGGTGCGAGTCGGAGCAGCACAGGGACAAGTTGGAGGAGCGCACCGAGTCCGCCGCGCCACCATAACCCGAGTCCAGCGTCAGGTCCTCCAGCGTGCGCACCACGGGCTTCTTACCTCTCCTGGCCATCGCTGCGCCACCTCATGCTGCGGCCGCCGGGGAGCCGTGGAAGGAGGGCGGCGAGCGGCGGGAACCCGCCTCGGCTCACTCGGCCCCGGGGCGCTGCCTCCCGGGGTTACCACTTGGGGCCACCCGAGCGCGCTGCCACCGCCGGATGGCACCGGGCAGAGCCGGGAGTCATCTTCCAGAGCCCGGGCCAGAGCTGGGGCGCACGGAGGCGCGGCGAGCCAGGCCGGGAGGGAGGCTCGCGCCCAGACTCACCCCTTTCATCCGAAATCAGAAGTGTCCGCCTGGCCGCTGCCCGGCCCGGATGGGTGCCAAGGCCCGGGCGCCGGTCCCCGGGTGCGCAGGGCGGAGACGCCGCCGATCGTGGGCCGCTGGCTCCGGCTCCGGTTTCGGATCCCGCTCGCCCGCACTGAGCCCCGCGGCTGCCTGGCCGGCTGCAAACGCCGCGGAGCCCAGTGCACCCCGACCGCCAGCGGGCGGGCGTATGCAAAGCAGCGGCGCGGAGAGCCAATGGCAGCGGAGGATGCTAATTAGTTCGCCTTTCTTTTCAAATTCCTCCCGGCCACGTGGCCCCGCCTCCAGACACGCCCCCAGCCTGGACCAAGGCTGCGCTAGTGGGGGGCGGCGGCTTGGGGATCTGGAACCCACCTGGCTCAGGGACGAGAAGCTGCGTCCTGCTGCGGTTCCCACCTTCCGGACTCGGTCAGTGATCTCCTCTCCGAGGCGCGCTCCCTCCAGCGGTTACAGAGTGTGTATCCAGGGTCTCTCCGTGGCTGCCTTCATGCGGCCCTCCCTCCGCCCTGGGTTGGCTCCAGCGTGGAGGGGCCAGGGGACCGACGCCACGGCGAGGCGAGATCTCTGGGCGCCACCTGCCCCCGGGGCCACTAACTGGATTTTACTCAGCAAGCAGGCAGGGGGACCCTGCGCCCATGCTTCCCGGGCCCTGCGTGTGCTGGAAGCGGGGCTCCCTTGGCAGAGCTGCCGGGTGTCGCACGTTAGTCAGCTCAGCCTCGGAGGAGGATGGGCTGTATGCATGGCTTAGCGGCACTTCTGGGTCAAATGGCATTGTCCCCACCCACGTGGGCAGAAACCCTGTCTCCCCACACCGGGTTTAGATGTCCCCTCCTCCAGGAAGCCCCCCAGACTCCCGCAGTTAGCCTGAGTCTGGTGGATCCCTGGGCCCTGGCTACGCTAGGGTTTGCCCTGCACAGGCCCTGCGCTTAGCGGACTTTCAATAAATATTCGCTACAAGTCTGATGAGGGGAAACATGCTTCTGGAGGGTTGGCTTGACTGTTCCGCAAGGTGTGCGGAGAGGCCCCACATGACTGGTGGTCAGGGAACCCCGAATCTAAACCACAGGGAGACACCTTCTCACACAGTTAGGACGGAGATCGGCAGGAAATCAAACCACGGGAATGTCGGCTGGGACGCAGAGGAAAGGGAGCCCTGCCACACTGCCGGTGGGGGTGCAAATCAGTCCGACCACTGCACAAAACGACGGTAGAGATTCCAGAGGAAAATTAAAATTAAAACGCCCGTGTGGTGCAGCAGTTCCACTTCTGAAAATATCCAAGGAATGAAACCCCTGGCGGAGCTGTTTATACCCCCAGCTTCACAGAACGCTATTCGCAGAAGCCAAGATGTGGAGACTGGCAAAGCGTCCACCCGAGAAAGCGCAGTGGATGGGGTAGAAGGTGATGCGCTTTTCAGAGGGAGGAAATCCTGCTGTTCGCAGCGGCACAGTGACCCAGGGAACATGTGCTAAGAGAAATGAGTCAGATGCAGAACGGCAAACGCTGTATTATCTCACGCGCAGGTAGATGTCTTGAAAATCGAATTCCTAGTCATAGGGACTAGAACGGCGTGTGGGGAAAGGAGTTCTGGTCAGCAGCACACACTGCAGTTGAAAGATGGAGTTCTGAGGGCCGGGATATAGCTCAGCGGCACAAGTGCCTGCCTGGCAAGCGAAAGGTCCTGAGTTTGATTCCTGGTACCAAATAAATAAATAAATAAATAAATAAAAGATGGCGTTTTGGAGATCTGATGCGTATGGGGGCGACCATGGATAATAATGTAGGGGACACCTGATGTTTGCTGAAAGTCGGTCATGCAATTTCGGAGCAAGCGCTCATGTCACACACGTAGGGAGGCTTCACTGTAAGCACTTTGAACTTGTGGGTGGTACTTCCACAAGCAAGGTGGGGGAGGCGGGGGGTCGTCTGATGTTCCTCGTGCCTGTGAGCCCAAGCCATCTCCCCTGCACCTAACACAGTCAATCCTCACCTCCCACTTTGATGATTCTTTCTACCAAACCATCACCTGTTCTCCCTCTTCTCCCTCCAAACCATCCGGCCTGAGAATCTTCCAAGAGCCGGTCCTTATTTTATTATTTAACCAAAACCATTATGTCAAAAAATTCAAAGGCTCCCTGCTGACTTCCAGCACCCAGAGTGCACCTGAGGCCTTGGACTCTGCCCAGGCTCTTTGCCTAGCACTCTAACCCTCTTTAAGGGGCAGAGGAGCTTTAATGAGCTGAGCCCTGAATTCCGCAGTGACCGCTCTCACCGGCCCCTGGAGCACACTCTCCTGTGGACACACAGCCGCACACCCACACGCAGATACATGTGCCCGAGGCGCTGGCCAGCCCGGAATCAGTCGCTGGTTTTCAGAGTTCGCATGTCACCCGCTGCACCTGATGCACCTTTGCAGATGTGCTGCTGATTGCAGGTACTGCTGCTTGGACGTTTGTCCTCTGGCCTCTCCACCTGGCAAGAGCCTTCCTTCTCCTCCTCTAAGACTGCGCGCAAGTTGCCCTGCAGTGAATTCCCCCATGCTGCCTGCTCGATGCCCAGTCCAGGTGGGGAAAGGGGCCCCCTCCCTGTTGGAGGGGGCTTGTTCCCAGGACCCCTCCCTTCTGTGTGCGTTTCTGTGGCCATCTCATCTGCCCCAAGCGTTCACCTAGCCCCTGAGTGATGACCGCTCAGTAGAACGCAAGAGGCAGGAGAACCCAGAAAATGCCACAAGTGTAGGAAGACAAACACATTACAAGCCCTGAGATCTGTGGGTGCAATGTGGATGCACTTCGTCCTGTGCCTCCAGGGCAATGTGGGCTCCAGGTCTGTCTCTGCTGCTTTTTCAATCAACTTCCCCAAAGTGGCTAGTTCAACCTGTTGACACTTCCATTTCCTGTGCTCCAAATAGCCACGCCCACCTGAGGAGGGGGGAGACGTAGGGTTACAGAAGATCTTTCCTTGCATAGGGTGTAACACAAGGTCCCACACATGGTAATAGCCCTGTGCGTACCTATCAGTTTATTTTCCATTTTCCAATTTTGTGAGTAAACACTATTTCTTATGAGTCAGAAAAGAAAAGCCAGCACTGTTACCTATAAAATTCTCGTTTTCAAGGCCAGGCCGATGACGCTATGCACACTGCCCTTTCTCTCGCTGCAGGTGTGTGCACCTGTCTTCTCTCTCCCTGTGCAGACAGCAGACTCCTTGCAAGCGGCGGTCCCGTTCCTAACACGACACCTGCACTATTGGACCTGCTCCCCAGTACCAGGGCAGAACAAAGCTAAGGCACACGGCTGCTTTGTTTGTGAAAGTGAATGATTTGCAATCACCTGAAGCCACTGAGGGCGAGGGACCCCAGACACGGACAGTAGTGAGCACATCAACATTCTACTGGAAACCTCATTCTGGAAGGAGAAAGAGAAGAAGAAGAGAAGGAGAAGGAGGAAGAGAAAGAAGAGGAGGCAGAGGAGAAAGAGGAGAGGGAGAAGACGAAGAAAAGAAGACAAGGAAGGGGAAGGGATAATTACCATTTAAAACATTTTATATTACATTCTAGTTTTAAATTTCCCAAAGCCTTATTTGTTTTCCTGAAAGTGATCTATGTCTATGTCTATCTCTATCTGTGTGTTTATATCTATATCTACATCATCTATCACTATATCTGTAGATAAATGGATACGTATCTCAGAGCTGGGATTATTCTGCAAGTCATTTTAGATTCTGAGCTTTCTTCAGAAAGATGACCTCCAACTTTATAGTATAATCATTTCCCCACACTATTAAATATTCATCCAGTATACATTTTGATACATTTTGTGGCTGTAAAATAAATGTTCCACATATGTTGCTTCTTAATTGGTATGTGTGTGTGTGTATATATGTAATATATACATATATATGTATACATATATATACATATATATGTAATAAATACATATATATACACACACACACACCAATTAAGACAATATACATATATATATTGTCTTTTTGAAATAGGGTTTCACCATGCAGTTCAGGCTGGCCTTGTTCTCACTTACAGCCCAGGCTGACCTGGAACTTGCATCGATCCTCCTGCCTCAGTCTCCTGAGTGCTGGGATTACAGGCATGCACCACCATGCCCGGCTTAATTGGTATATTGATTCCCCATTGGATTGCTTCTCTTTATTAACTCATGCAGTGAATGCCAGGATGAATGTTTTGTAACTAAATCATGTTTCAAAGCTATGTCTTCTATGTGCTGTCTTCTAAGAAATACAAATATAAAATACTAAAGATTTAAAATCAGCAAGAACCAAAAATGAAATTGCTGGGATTGCTTCATCTATCCAAGCAGCAAAGATTGATTAAATCAGTTTTGAGAGCAGGTCCTGGCAGAGCCGGCACTCCAACACGTGGGGACTGGAGTTTGCCATGTGCCAAATGCATGTTCCTGTGACTCTGTAGAAATCAGCCCTTCTGATAGTACCAAGGGGGATCATGCACATTTATCAAAAGCACATAGGGTGCTCTTAGAAATGCTTTTTACATAGAACTTTGGAAAACAGCCTACGTGTCTTTCAACCAGGCCAAAGGAAATGGACTATAGTGTACTCATACAAAAGAATATGAAACAATTAGAAAGAATAACGATGGTGACCTTTATTTCCACAGCTTATTTGTATGTGAACACATTTTTAAAAATAGCTTTTGGAAGATCACCTGAAGTATGACCCTATTTATTTAGAAAATGCTTTATGTAGAACTAAATATGTGTTTAAGTTTGTAAATGTGCTGGAAAAAAATGGAAACAACAGCTATAACCGATTCACTGGATTTCTGGGGATTTTAAAAGCGAGTTTTATTTACTCTAGTTTATCACTGATCCTTCTTTTTATTTTTCTAAGAAAATGATGAACTTTTTTTTTGCAATAAATAGGTATCATCTTAACCAGAGCCATAAATTTATTTTCAAACAAAAATAAAGTTTTGCCTGCCCATCATTGTGAATTCTTCCTGTCAGTCAAAATACTCCGATAACGTGTGGTCCTTGAGTAATTCTAGAAACTAAAAAGGGAGGATGTGGGTGATCGCAGCAGCTGGGCCCACACCAGTCTCGTTGTGGGTCCTGTGTTTCTAGAGAATCCGCCACGCAGGGCTGCACGAAGCAAGGCCTCTTGGCTTGGAGCCCAGCTGTGCTACCTACTGGCTTTGCAACCTGGAGCAAATTCCTCAGCTTCTCCTCTCCTAACTGTGCCTCTGCGTTTCATCTGAATTGGGGGATGCTGCTGCTGCCGTCCCAGAAGACCAGGCTGGAGGTTTAGATGAGATCACTGGAGCAGTGCAGGTGACTCATGACAGGTCAGGCGCAGTGTGGCGTGTAGGGAGCCACGGGCACCTGGCTTTCCTTCTGGGTCATGCCCTTGTGGGCCTTTAGCTGGAAACCAGATGTTAGTAAGAACTGTGAGTGTGACGGGTTCAGGAAAGGGTGACACACATGGATGAACAAACAGTGTGTGTTTCGCCACACCGTTTCTGAGCAAGGCCCTTGGTTGCAAATATCAGCTGTTTCCTAAGATGGGCCGAGTGTGTGAGCTTGGCCGGTGCCTTTGCCAGGGAAGAGTCTCTGCGAGGGGGAGACCACGTCTGGGGAGAAAATTTTAAGCGAATCCACTCGATTTCATTCTGCTCTACATGAGAAAGAGACGCACACGCCCACTTCTGAACTCTCTCCAGAAAGAGTCACAGTGTCAACACAAGGACTTGCTCATTTGCATAAGCAAGAGATACAGTTGACCTGTCCATCCTGTGGGTGCCAGCGTGGGCCTGGCCTGACAGCAGGGACTATTCATGTCTTAGCGTCACACAGTCTACCCAGGAGGTCTTCAGCTCTCTCCCGAGAAGAGCACACACATGTGCACAGGCCACACTGGCATGGAACTGGCATGCCACATCAGGGGTTCACCGGCCCTTAGACTAAGTACACCCACAGACTCATGGTAGTCCTTTAGCGTGATAGTCACTGTGACCTGTGACATTCATGGAGAATGTGCTTTGTGCAGATATTGTTTAAATACTTTATATGGACCTACTCTGTAACACCCTCATTTTATAGGTGGCAAAGCTGAAGTTTAAGGACATTGGGTCATTTACCCAAGGGTGAAGAGCCATAGGGTCATGGGAACAGAATTTTAACCCAAACATTGCAAGTCCCTTCGTCAGGACAGAGGCTTTTAACCCAGACTGGCTGCATCAAAGGCAGCTATCAGAAGGAGTGACACAGATGGTCAGATTTTAAGGATGAGTAGGAATTAATCAAGTATGGAAAATACTCCAGAAAGCAGAGACCGCAGCGCAATGGTCCCGGGGCAAAAGAGAAGTCAGGCATTTGCAGGACCTGGCGCAAGCTGGGTGTTGCTGAGCTCAGGGTCCAATCAGGGCCCCACAGCAGGGCCGCGGCCAGCACAGTGCCTGAGACGTGTTAAGGAGTTTGGGCTTAATCCTGAAGGCAGTTAGGGGACCACAGTTGGCTGGTATGCCTTTCCCTCCTGAACCCCAAAACAGCAGACTTGTAAGTTTGACTGAGGGGAAGGCAGGGCCTGTCAGTCAGAGGCCCTCACCTGCTCCGGTCGGGAGACCCAGAGAGCTGATGCAAAGCTGTAACAGCAGCATCCAAGCGGACACACGTCTCTCCTCTCCCCAGCTCCATAAACCCCTCTCTTTTCTTCCTGGGAGCCAGGCCACCCTGCATAGTGAGTAGGAAATGTGTGCACATCCGAACAGTCTATCCCAAGTTCAGAATCCAGTCCCCATGGCCCCGTCTGTTGTGAGCTCGCTTTTGACTTTCATCTGTGAAACTGGGATAATAAGATCGCCCTCAGGTTGTCAGGAATGCCTGTCAGCAACGGCTGCAGAGTGCTGCTCGTCCCCTGGAGTGCAGGTGGTCAGTCCTCCCTACGAAGGGGAACAGTGCGGGAACAGGGTGTCACCAGCACAGGCGAGGTTCTGCTCCAGTAACAAGCAGCCCCCACAGCTCTGAGGCCGACACGGCCAAGGCTCACCTCAAGTCTGGGTTGCAGTGTGCACACGGAGTCAGAGGGGCTCCTCCCCTATGGGACTTCCCTTAGGAGTCCGGGCTGCAGAAGCACCTGGAAGAGAAATGCTTTTCCAAAGTTGATGGGGCAGAGGACATAAGACTTCACCCTGACTTTTAAAGTTTTCACCTGGAAGTTACAGACATGATACTTCTGCTCATACTGCACCTGCTGAAGCCAGTCGAGTGGCCACTGTAACCTCTGAGGTGCAGGAAAGTGGAATCAGACTGTGTACCCATGCAGCAAAGTGGAGATCCATGATCAGTCAGAGTGGCTATGACAGATGCAGCCCTTGGGTCCACCAGGGTGGTCTTCAGGGGGTCAGTCTATTTAATGGACAGACTTAGCAGGAGAGGCCGGTCTTTCCAAGTTCGTGATTTACAAACAGTCTGGTCTCTTAAAGTTGAAGGATGTTGGTGGTGACACTCAGGGAGCAGCCAGAAAACAGGTCTGTGTGGCCTCTGGTGGGAGTATGCCAGACAGGGTGGTGTCCAGTGATTCTGAGCCTCTTCTATTCCACGCAAAAAATTCACCATGATGGTTGGAGAACAGGTAAACACAATTTTTATTTAAAGTAAAGGAAGAAAAGGAAAGAGTGAAGAAAAGAGAAGAGCAAGAAGAGATACGTCCTACAAGCAGGGTGGGCCGCTGCAGAAATGGGGCAGCAGAACAGTACAATCACAGTGGCCTCCAAGTCAATGGCCACCATCTTTTTATATCCTCTCAGATCCCATCCATAGGAAGTTGCTCTGCTTGTGCACCCTAGCTGTGATTGACAGGCCACATCCTGTTGTTCAGCCTCTGTTCAGGCTCATGTTACACCCTGTTTTCCAGCCAGCCTGCCATACCCTAATCACTTACCTCAGGGGTTGTAGGCCATGGCAAATGGAGATAGTTCCAGAACATTCCCCAGTGCACAGCCTACCTGGCCTCTCAGGGCTGAATCAAAACCCCACCTCCCTGGGGAGGGCCAGCCTCAGTCAGGTTCTCTATGATCAGTGCTCATAGCAGGTTTACTTTGCCTGCACAGTGTGTGTCATATGATTTATCTGATGTCCTTGACCCCAACTGATGGAGACCACTAAGTGGCTCCAAGCAGGATTTAATATTAACCAATTGGCTTTTCATGTTTACTTGGGAGTTATCTGAAGCTTAGGCACCTTGTCTGGAGATGGGCAGCAGACTCATAATAAGTGAACATCTGTGAGTTCCTGGGCCCCACTGAGGCCTGTATTGGCCTGTGAAGTTGGGCTTCTAAGGGCAAGATAAGGCCATAGCTGAGGACTTTTGGCTCTATCCCCAATTAACTAAAAGGAGAAGGTAGCTGCAGGCATCTCACTCCTGCAGTGAAGGCCTCCCTGGAGATAACATAGTTCTCCTAAATTAACATAAAG